TCTGGGGGTCGTCGTGGGACCGTCCTGGTCCGTCGAAGGGCTTTCTCAGGCCGCCTTGGGTCTCTGTGGAGGCCCTCATGGGCAGTCTTGGAGACGTCCTGAATGCCTCTTGAGCCATCGGGGGGTCCTCTTGGGCAACCTTGGGAACTTCTTGGGGGTATAGCTTGCCGTCATGGCGCCATCTTGGAGGCTTCCGGGGCCGTCGTAAGCTGACGGAAGCCCGGAGAGGGTGAGAACGTGAAAATCCGTTCACCGTTCAACGTGAATCAATGATTTCGGCTTGCTCGGACCCTGTTCGGGGTCTTCAAGAGGGCCCGCTTGGCCCTCTTAGATCAGGAGCGAAAGAAGGACGTACATGTACATGAATCCACGCTGGTTTCGAGAGCACGCATTGCACAAATGTTCGTATAACGCGGCCGGTCTCGCGAATCGAGGGGCCGTGTTCATGTACATAGCTGGGCGCGTACGTCCTTTGTGGGCTCCCTATTAGAGGCATCTTGGGCTGTCTGTCATGGCCTCAATGGGGCCATCTTCGGCCGTTCTTTCGAGGCTTCTCGGGCCACCTTGGCGGCCTTGGGTTGCCTGCCCGGGCCGTCTTGGAAGCTCGAGGCGCGGGTCCACTTCCTCTTTACGAGGGATCGTGAACTCATGGTGATGGGCCTGTTTTCCACCACCACCACCATAAGTAGGAGGGGTACGAGGTCCTCCTCCTCCTCCTCCTCTTCTTCCTCCTCCTCCTCCTCCACCTCCTTCCCCCTCAACTTATGATGGTGGTGGTGGAAAACGAGCCCATCACATGGGGCGCTGATCCGATGTTTTCACACTGGCGATCGTGGCCCCTGGAGTGGAGGGGTGGGGAAGGGGGAGGAGTCGAGGGAAGAAACACGGGGACCATGACCAAGATGCCGCGTGATGTTGTCGGCGCCGATCTTGGTCATGGTCCATGTCGGCTGTCGCCGGTTCGCGATGACGATCCACGGATTGACGCTGACCAAGGCCGACGGTGACCAAGATCGAAACGACGTTTCCGCGTTCCGTCTTGGTCATGGTCCCCGTATCTTCCCCTCCAAGGATGGGCTGGGGGGTCCCCCGAAACCGTCCGGTGACAGGTGCCCCGTTGGCCTCGAGTTCCCGGAGGTTCTGGGGCGGCGCCTGGGGCGGGATCTCGCCCTGGAGAGTGGCCCGGGGCCCGGGGCGGTCCGCTCCACGCCCGGGAGGCCCTTCGGGCTCGCCCGACGGCGTGGTCACCAGGCCGCTCGGGGACCCCCGGGGGGTGGGGGGGGGAGGAGTCCGAGGCGGAGGTGGATCCCATAGCCTCAAAGGAGGAAGCAGGCACCCACACGGGTAGCCATCCCGCGTTTTCGCCAAACCGCTTCCCTTGCAATTTCCCCAGCTTGGGGACCCCCGGGGGATGCGGGAAGAGTCCGAGGCGGAGGGTTACCCATGACCACCTGGGGGATCGATCCTCGCGGACCGCCACAGGCAGTGGATATAGATATATTGTGGCCCGGGGGGCCAGAATGTATCCATATCCACCGCCCGCTGGGGCCCCAGGACGTCACTTCCCAGGTGATGAATCTGGAGAGATTCCCACCTCGCAGGGAGGGAAGAGGGAATTCAGGGGAAGGCGGAGGTCAGGGGCGAGAGAAGGACGTACACGTTGGTTGCGAGTGTACGCATTGCGCGGACGTTCGTATCACGAGGCTGGTCTCGCGGACTGGGGGGTCCTATTCATGTACGTGGTTCGGCGCGTACGTCCTGTATGGGCTCCCTACTTGAAGAAGGGGGGGGCGAGACTTAGAGGGATGTCGGACGGGTGCAAAGGGCTCGTTCTCCCTGGTGGCGGCCTCGGAACCCGCCGTAGGTGTGGGAGGCCAGCAGCCACACCCAGCTCGTGGGCGTCTCGTCCTTCAGCATCGACGGGACCAACGTCCACTGCATCCTGCAGGGGAACAGGCGCCCAGCCCGGGGGCCTGCCCAGACTCGTGCCAGGAGGGCCCACTCGTACGGCGCACTTGGGCTGCGAGCCCAAGCCTCCTCAGACGGCTCGGAAGGCCTCGGACCTTCCGAGAAAATTCCCAAGCCTGCCGCGGAGACGCAGAAGCCTTGTCAGAACGCCACAGGGCTTCTGGGAAGCCCCGCCGCCTTCCGAGAAGGCCTCCTCCTTCTCGCTTCCCCCCCTCGCTCGCCGCCGAGTTGGGTGCGCGCCGTGGCGGCTGCGGCCTCGCCAGGAGCTCACGCCTGAGCATGTGGCGCGCAGGAGGAGCGAGGTCATGGCAGCGCCCTCGGAGGGGCCGCTGTGGCCGTCTTGGGCTACCCCTGGATCGAAAACGGAGTGGACCCCAAACGCCCTCGACGACCAACGGGACGCAAGATATTGACCTCCTCGGGCCGTGTTCGGGGTTGCCGTGAGCCGTCCTGTGGGGCTCCTGGGCCGTAGCGCCGTGCCGCCCGAGCCCAGGGCTGCCAGTGTCTTGAAATCGAGGGGCTTCGGCAGCACCATCTCCCAAAACGGGGGGTAGCCTTCAGGGACACACTCAGGCCGATGCAGAGGATCTTTGTCCGCGGCGGTGGCCGCCCGTTTGTTCGCTCGCTCGCTGCCGGCTCTGGCCCAAAGGGGCGCCGACGTCCTGAAGCGGTCGGACTTCTCCAGCAGCATCCGGAAGATGCAGAGGAGTACCGGCGTGGAGCCCCTGCCCGTGCCCCGCGCCCCTGCTCTCGCCCGGCGCCTGTCGTGTCGTGGCCCTCCCTCTTGCTCCTGTGATCTTAGGATGCAGCTCCTGGGAGTTCTGATTCAGCATCGGTGCCGGTGTACCCGAGGTCGAAAGCCAGCCTGATCTGGCATGATCCCGCGTTCCCTGACTTCATCCCCCGTAGTCTTGCTTATGTAGCTTGATCCCAGGCTTCATCCGGCTTGATCACGCTGAATGGTCTTTGATCGGGCTTGATTTTAATGGTTCTTGCGGCAGCATCCCAGGGGGTGCCTCCGAATCTTCCGCCTCATTTTCCGACCCTGCGGAGGGGTTCTTGTTTAGTGTTCCCCTGGGGGGGGTCTGGAGGGGACCCCCCGGGACATGACCCCGGCCACGGGCGGAACGCCGGCGGAAGACGGCCGTTGTCGGCCGCTCTTCGGCAGTCGCGGCACGGACGGCTTCAGGATTCACCAAGCGCGTTCCACTACTCGCAAAGTGCCTACTCGCAAACGCCCGAAACTCACATGTCTGATTCGATATAGTTTCTCGTAGATCCCCCCCCCAGCGGATCCAGGTCATTTGCGAGTCGTCGCTTTGCGAGTAGTGGAACGCGCTCGGCTAAAGATGGTCTGCAGGATAGTCCAAGAGGGCCAGGGGTCGCCGACAGATCGGTCCAGACCGTCCACGGTGGCCTCCAGACGGTCCAGGATGCCCCTCCAAGAAGCCCCTCGAGAGAGCCCCAAGAGTCAACATCCATATGTTTCCCACTGGTCTTTGCGTTTTTTTCGCGGTCATGCCTCATCGGCCTCCCGACTCTCCAAGACGGCCCAAGAGGCCCCAAAGATCGCTCCAAAACGGCCTAAGGGGCCCCCAAGAGAGCGCCCAGACGGCCCAAGACGCCCCCAAGACGGCCCAAGAGGCCTCCAAGATGGCCTGACAAGGCCCCAGGCACGCCCCAAGAGGTGCCCCAGATGGGGGACAGGGACTGGCATTTTAGGCTCTCCGCCCAAAGAAGCCACGGGAGGCTCCCAGAGGCCCCCACGAGGGCCCCAGGACTGCCTAAGATGGGGGTGCGAGGCTCCAGCTTCGCAGCCAGGATGGTCGGAGACGCCCCAGGGCCCGAAGACTGCTCAACAGGGCTCCAAGATGGTCGGAAACGCCTCTTCAAAGTGGCACAGCGTCAAACGGACAACACGGGAACCAGCATAGTGCGCCTTGAAGCGGCACAGCGTCAAACGGGCAACATGTGAATCAGCATTATGCGCCATATAGGCATCCTCTTCTTTGTTTTTCTCTTCCTCGCAAGTCACGCCCACTTATCCTCTAAGGCAGGAGTTCGTAGCAATGTCATATTAATTTTGCCGGCGGAGACTCCACAGAGGTCACAAACCAGGACAGGAGAGCACTTGCGCAAAGCGGGGGCAGGAAGAAGACCGAAAGTGGTTCAATCGGCAGGCACCTGTTTCGCGGGCGCATACGCCACAGGCTTCACAGGCCTCCTCCTCCTCCTCCTTGCTTCCCTCTGGGGTCCTCTCAGACCCAGGCGAGGCAACAAGAGAAGGCGCGACGGCCGGTCCCTCGTTGTTCTCGGCCTCTGGAGGCCGTTGCCCGGCTCTTGGAGCGTCCAAACACGATTCAGGATGAAAATCCGGCCCGGGGGGCCGACGTCACGAAAGACGTGTTCTCACTGTCTGTCCGTCTGTGCGTTTGTCTGTCTGTCTGCCTGCCTGCCTGCCTGCCTGTCTGTCTGTCTGTCTGTCTGTCTGTCTGTCTGTCTGTCGCCTCGCGCCTCGCCTCGCCTCGCCTGGCCTCGCCCTCCTCCCTCCCTCCCCCCCCCCGCCCTCGCTGCCCCCTCCCCTTCTCTCCGCATCCCTCGGCCCGCCCAGCCGCCGCTCCCCCGACTCCCCGGACCCCGCCGAAGGCGAGGTCAAGATGCTGGATCAGCCAATTCCGCTCAGCCAGGTCTGGCGCTCCAGTCTCTGAGCCAGCTCCGAGCCAGGCGCAAGTCAAAGTCCCCCCTCTCTTCCCTGCCTCCTTACCCCCGCTCACAAGGGCCCAGCAGACCCGATGCTGCCGGGGCCTTCCCCGAGCTCGCCGCTGCAGCGGTCGGGAGGCGCACCTCCTGACGGACGGGGCTTCTCCTCCCCGGGCCACCGACGCCATGATTTCACGCAGCACCCCGCAGTTACGTGTAAGAGTGAGAGGGCGGGCGCGGGATGGGTCGCGGCGGGGTCGCGGGGCGGGGGCCGCGGGCGAGGACGACGACAACAATTACTCGACGCGGGGATCCCACTATGTGCATCTCATGCTCTGGTCACGTTTCGTTGGCGGATTTCGTCTATGAGCATCTTGGCGTGAGAGCGAGTCCGCAAAGATGACACGCGCGGCAATGACGACGACGACGACAGCGATGACTTCAGTGGCCTCTTCTCCTCCTCCTCCTCCTCCTCGCCCTCCTCCCCCACCTCCTCTGAACAGCTTTCAGGAGGGCCGAGGGAGCACACACACACATATATGGAAAAACAAATCTGTTTATTGGTGACCTGAGCGTGGGCCAGTCTGAGTGTAAACGGATTCAGGTACCAACGAGTTTGAGTGTGGGTGAGTCTGGATATAGTTTTTGCGAATACAAGTGGTTCTGAGTATATGTGAGTCTGAATGTGGCCGAGTCAAAGTGCGAGAGGGCCTGAGTGTGGGTGAGTCTGAGTTCGAGTGTGACGATTAGATATTTATCAGGGGTCCTGCGTGCGAGGTAGTTGTAGTGTGCGTTAACCTGAAGGTTATTGAGCCTGAGTGTGAGTGGGGATGAGTGTGGTGTTGTATGGGTGTGGGTGAGTTTCGGTACGAGCAAATCTAGGGTTGACCGGGTAAATGTGTGTGTGTGTGGGCTTGAGTATGATCGGATACTGGTGCGGGCGATTCGGACTGCGATGACTGAGTATGAATGGGGAGGAGGTGTTGATGAGCAACCCCGGGTGCGAATGATTGTGTCCAGGTGGGGAAAAAAGGAAGACATTGAGTGAGTGAATGAGTGAGGAGCATACAAGTCAAATTTGAAGTTCTTGGTGGCCGAAGCAGGCGAGACATCCTCCCACTCTGAACGCGAATCTTGAAATGTCTCCACTCCTGGCGGCTCCGCCTTTGACCGCGCCTGTTATATCACTGTGAACATTGGGCCACCAAGAAAGAACCGCTCGGGGTGCCCAAGTGCCACGTTTGCTATATCGCGGTGAGTATTGGACCACAAAAATAGATAGAGCTGACTAGGTCAAATAAGCACACCGTTTGAAACAACCCCGCGCATGTGAACGCGAACCGTGGAATATCCCCACCCATGGTTGCCCCCCGCTTGGGGCGCCCAAGCGCCTCGCCTGCTGTCGTGGTTACCGTTGGACCACCAACAGGAAAACATCTGTGGGTCAGAAACAGGCAAGTCGCTTGAGACATCTCCCCCCATGGAACTCTTCCGAAATCAAACGTTGTTGGGCACCAAGACAGGCGAACCGCCCCAGGCATCCCCGCAATCTGGGCGCGAACGGGCCTCGACCCACTCCCCCAGGACCAGTTTTTCATCCTGGCGCGAAGGCGTCTGCGCCCACCCCCCCTTTCTGAACCCGCCCCGTCTTGGCCGCAGGCCGCGCCGCAGCGGAGGGTACACAGCCAGGGCGCGCCACACCCGCCATACGCTCTTCTCGTAGGCCCGTCTGCGCAAGCGGCAAGCCGTCGATCGGCGGCTTGCAAGCATCACCGAGCGCGCCCAAGTACTCGCGAATTAGAAGTGCCTGTTCGCAACCGCCCGGACCCCCCCACGCCCCCCCCACCCCCGCCCCCCCCCACCACACACACACACACACACACCACACACACAGACACACGCACGCACGCACGCACGCACGCACGCACCACCGCACCACCGCACCACCGCACCGCACCGCACTGCACCGCACCGCACCACACACACACACCACACACACACACACGCACGCACGCACGCACGCACGCACGCACGCACGCACGCACGCACCACCGCACCACCGCACCACCGCACCACCGCACCACCGCACCACCGCACCGCACCGCACCGCACCGCACCGCACCGCACCGCACGGCACGCACGGCACGCACGGCACGCACGGCACGCACGGCACGCACGGCACGCACGGCACGCACGGCACGCACGGCGCGCACGGTGCGCACGGCGCACGGCGCACACGCGCACGCGCACGCGCACGCGCACTCGCACGCGCACGCGCACTTTCGCACGCGCACGCACACGCATACGCACACGCAAACGCACACGCACACGCACACGCACACGCAAACGCACACGAACACGCACACGCACACAGTCACAGACACAGACACAGACACAGACACGGACACTGACACAGACACAGAGACAGAGACACACAGACACAAATACACACAGACACACAGACACACAGACACACAGACACACAGACACACACACAGACACAGACACACAGACACACAGACACACAGACACACAGACACACAGACACACACAGACACAGACACACAGACACACAGACACACAGACACACAGACACACACAGACACACAGACACACAGACACACAGACACACAGACACACACACACAAACATACACATACACATACGCATGCGCATACACACCACACATCACAACACACAACACACAACACACAACACACAACACACAACACACACAACACACACACAACGCACAACACACACAACACACACAACACACAACACATACCGCACATAACACATCACACAACACACAATACACACAACACACAGCACACAACTCGCAACACACAACACATAACACACAACACACACAGACATACACACACTTTGTTACGTCGGCGGCTAGGCAGAGTGATTGCGTTGGTGGAAAATTACACACACACACGCACGCACGCACGCACACAAAAACACAAACACACGACACACACAAACACACAAACACACACAAACACACAACACGAACATAAACACACACACAACACAAACAAAAGCACAGACACACACAAGCACAAACACAAACACAACCACCAACGCAAACGCAATCACAAATACAACACACAAACGCAAACACACACAAACACAAACACATACCCGAACACAGACACAACCACAAACGCAAACCCAAACACTCAACCTCAAACACAAACACAAGCACAGCCACAACCACAAACACACATACACAAACATAAACGTAGCAACACACAAACACAAACTCAAACACGATCACAAACACAAGCACAAGCACAAGCACAAACACAAACACACACACAAACGAACACACACGCACAAACACAACACACACACAAGAACACACACACAAAGACAACACACAGCACACACGCACACACGAAAACACAAACACACACAACACACAGGCACAAACACACACACACACATACAAGCAGAAACACACAGAAACACAACCACACACAAACACGCACACAAACACACACACGCGTGTGTCATGGTACCTAGCCCTTGTCAGCCGAAAAAATAGGTGACCGAAACAAATCGGTGACCGAAGACGTGCCCGGAGTTGTGACCGAGAACGCCGTGTGACCGATGTTGTAACCGGCATTGAAAGTCGCTCCAGTCTCGAACTAAACATTTCGGTCACACTTGGGCGTGGTCGGGAAATTTCCGGCGCTGGTTTCGGTCACGGTCTGGCAGGTTTTCGGGCACAGTTTTTGTCACGACGCCTCCTTGATAGAGACGAAGCTACGTAATGTTGGACTCGATGTAATGGATCGTGAGTCCCCCGCGGCGGATACAGGCCATTTGCGAGTAATTATTTGCCGCGAGTCGTGGAACGCGCTTGTCTAAAGTACCAGGCTCGAGCGCGAGTCGCGGCCGGGGCGCGCCACCGCTGCGGTCAGAGGAGGAGCAGAGTCAACCAAGAACCAATCGACACCCACGACCCACCTGCGACCCGCTGGGTCCTAGGTGGGTCCTAGTTCGGGTAGGTGCCGTTCGGCGGCGAGCCTGGGGGGGGGAATTGGGATGGGGGCGGGCCTTCTCAGAAGACCCCGAAGACACAGGACGCTTGTCAGAAGGCTGGAGGACTTCTGAGAAGTCCCGCTGCCTTCTGAGCAGGCCTTCTCCTGCTGACTTCCCCCCTCGCTCGCCGCCGATGGCATCTTCGACATCGCTGGGTCGTAGGCGGGGTGGTGTCGTCTGGTTTCTGGTCCGCAGACGCTCACGCGCCGCTGCCCGCCCCTCGACGCCGCGGCCAGAGCCGCGAGTCCTGGTCACAGCGCGCCGCGCGGAGCCCCCACGCCGCCTTTCCCTCCTCCTTCTCCTCCCCCTCCCTGCCTTCTCCTCCCTCCTTCTTCCCCATCCCCTCTTCCTCCTCGTCCTTCCCCCCCCCCTCCCCCGCCTCCTCGACCTCCTTCTCCTCCTTATCCACGTCCTCTCCTCCTTCGTCGAACGCCTCTCCCAGGCATCCGACGGCGTGATCTTTGTCAGTGCGCGGCCCCAGGGCTCTGGATCTCAGGACAGGAGGTTTTGGGCAATTCTTGGGTTTGGGGGCTCCAACCAGGCCCCAGGACCGTCAAAAACCACCCAGGATGAAAGCGGCCCGGGGGAAAGGGTCAGGACTTCGGGGACCGCGTGCTGAAAAAAACAAGACATCGCATACCTGGGAGAGCTCAGGACCCCATCCCGGGGGGCATTGTTTCGTCCCGAGTGCACGTTTGATGGTCCCGGGGCCCGACCGAAATCGAGGAAACAACGCCGGGGCTGAAACTTCATATGAGGCGTTCCGGAAAGGGCCTTGCCTTCGATGATCGAAGGAGCTGTCATCTCATTGTCGGCGGAAGGTGGCGGATGGTCGGGGAACGCTGGCGGGAGTAGAATGGGGGCGATTTCGCCGGCGGAAGCCGGTGGAAGGCTTGCGGACACAAAAGATGCGCCTCCAAGAGGGGGCAACGCTTTTGGGTTCAGGGTTTTGGCCACGCGCAGAAGGGGTGGGTGGGACTGGGGAAGGCTTTTTAGAAGGAGGCTGCCTTTTAGAAGGCGCCGGCCTTGCATTTATAGATGTAAGGCCGGCGCCTTCAAAGGAGCAGCCTCCTTCTAAGAAGCCTTCCCCCCTCCCCCCAAAACAACCCCCCTGTGCGCGCCGCCAAGAGTTTCCGGAATGGGCCATATGTCGTCAGGTACCTGGGCTCTCGCAGGCCGCAGCGACGGGTCGGCGGCCGGTCGGCGGGCGATGCGCGCGCGTGCTTGGCCCGGGCCAGGAGAAGCCGGGCTCCTGGCTCAAGCGCGAGTCGAGGCCGCTGTCGTGGTGGCCGGGGGCGCCCGCGCCCCGGCGGAAGCCACTCGTCGGCCGCGCCCCACCGCTCTCCCACCGCTCTCCCCTGGAAGGGGGGGGAGGGGTATGGAGGGGAGAGGGTCAGAGAAGGAAAAGGTACCCATACCGCTACCCTTACCTCGTTCTTCCCTTTTGGGGCCTCCCGGGAGGCCCCCGTCGCCACCGCTGGATTCGCCTCGAATTCCTTGTGAGAAAGCCCCTCAGGAGAGATCCAGGGAGTAGCGGCATAGGTGCCTTTTGGTTTTCCCAGAGGGGGTAGGAGGAGGCCGAGCATGAGGTGCAGGTGGAGGTGGGGGAGGAGGGGGAGGAGGGGGAAGAAGAGGAGGAGGAGGAGGAGGAGGAGGAGGAGGAGGAGGAGGAGGAGAAGAAGGGGGACGATGATGCTGATGATGATGCTGCTGCTAATGATGATAGTGATGATGGTGCTGATGGTGATGATGATGTTGAATGATGATGATGATGGTGGTGATGATGATGAAGATGATGCTGATGATGCTGCTGCTGCTGCTGCTGCTGCTGCTGATGATGATGATGATGATGATGATGATGATGATGATGATGGGACGGAGGATGAGGAGGATGAGTATGAGGATGAGGATGATGATGGGGATGATGATGATGCTGATGATGATGCTGATGATGAGAAGGGTGAGGAGGGGGACAACTGTAGACCCAATATTCATTCACGATGCTGTAATTAACTTCACTCCAAGCACCTTTTCATAGGCCCCTACACCGATTCATTTCCACGGAGGGAAGTGTCCAGTTGGAAGAAAACCGTTCGAAAATTTGGAACCGTGCCAGAGCACCTTTCGTGAGACTTCAACGCAGCGAAACAACTTGACTGTCGCGTCTTGACGATCCTGAATCATGCCAGAACACCGTTTCTGGGACTTAGCGCCACGAATCAATGTAACTGTTGCGCCCTGACACTATTACACTATTCCAAAAGATTTCCCTCCGCAGCGTTAGCCATATAATCCTGGAAACGCTTGTGACTTGTCAAGACGATTGTGCGCGACGCTACGGCGAGAGCCACATTCTGAACGACGCCTTCCCTCCGAACGCGGAGCCCTTGCATTTTTCAGACGAGCGTGCGCGCCGCGTGGGCGAGAGCCGCAGCTTGAAGGCCGCCCGCCCCAAATCCGTGAACGTCTGAGGAGGAGGAGGAGGAGGAGGAGGAGGAGGAGGAGGAGGAGGAGGAGGAGGAGGAGGAGGAGGAGGAGGAGGAGGAGGAGGAGGAGGAGGAGGAGGAGGAGGAGGAGGGAGGAGGAGGAGGAGGAGGAGGAGGAGGAGGAGGAGGAGGCAGGAGGAGGATTTTGGCAGCGAGCGTGCGCGCCGCGAATGGGCGAGAGGGCGCGTCAACTTTGCAGGCGGCCCGCCCTCCGCCCGTGGAGAGCTGCTGCAGGTCTTTGAAGGCTCTAAGGGCCGCCAAGCGGCGGGGGAGTGTCTCGGGCACCTGCGGCAGAGCGCTTCGCCCGCGAGGAAAGGAGGAGGAGGAGGAGGAGGAGGAGGAAAGGAGGAGGAGGAGGAAAGGAGGAGGAGGAGGAGGAGGAGGAGGAGGAAGGAGGAGGAAAGGAGGAGGAAGGAGGAGGAGGAGGAGGAGGAAGGAGGAGGAGGAGGAGGCAGGAGGAGGAAGAGGAGGCGTGGAGGGCGGAGGGGGGAATGAAGGGGGGGGGAGAGGTCAGGAGGAGAAGGATGACCAATTTGAACCCAAGACGCATCATCGATGTTGCAATAAACCCTCCTTCTCAGTTCCCTCTTCGTGGGCTCCTAATTGGAAGAATCCATAGTTCTTGCGTCAAGTGCCCCATTGAAAGGCAACCGTCTGGGAATTGCCACTCGTGCCAGAACACCATGTTTGCCGTCAACGCCACGAACCAGCCTTACTGTTGAGTCCGGACAATCCTGAATCGTACCATAACGCGTTTTGGGGGATTCCAACACCGAGAATCAACGTGACTATTGCATTTGGACAGTCCTGAACCAGGCCAGAACACAATTCCCAGGAGTCAGATTGTGTGATCCCTGGAGTCGGTTGTCATGTGCGCGGCGCTGAGTCGAGAGCCACATTTTGAAAAGGCGCCGCCCTTCCTCCTTGAAGCGGATGCGAGTTTTGACGCGCGTGTGTTTCGCCACAGGGTCAAAACCAGCAGCGCTCCGCCCGTAGGTGCGGACTTTTAGAGACGGATGTGCTCGGCGCTGAGGCGAGGGCTACATTTTGACGAGGAGCCGCCCTCGGTCCTGGAGGCTGTCGGGAAGTCTTGGCGCTTCGCCCGTGAGAGCTGACGGGGGGAGAGAGGAAGAGACGCGCATCGTCAAGCAGCGAGGGAGGCCGGCCTGGAGGGCGTGTTGGGGCCATCTCCAGGCCCGCGTGGCTTCTTGGCGGCCTCCTGGGGAGGCCTCGTGGCCATCTCGAGCCGTCTTGGGGCGATCTTGTTGGGGCCTCTTGGAGCATTTTGGGAGCCATCTTGAGCCAGCTTGGGCTTATCTTGAGCCACCTTGGAAGTCATCTTGGGCTCTCTGAGGCCGCTCGGGGGCCTCTTGGGAGCCTCTCGGGGGCCTCTTGGAGCCCTCTTGGGACCTCTAGGGGCGCTCTTGGGACCCTCTTGGGGTCCTCTTGGGAGCCCTGGAGGGCCTCGTGGGGCCATCCTGGAGACGGTCGGTCAACAGAAGGGGGTTCTCGATGTAGCTCCCCCCTCGGGGGCCACGATCCTCGTGAGGGGTGTCAAACATTGGCCCTCCCAGGGGACGAAAAAGGACTCTCTGGCACATCGTGGCCCCCGAGGGGGGGAGCTACATTTAGTACCTCCCCTCTTTTCACCGACCGCCTCCAACATGGCCCCAAAAGGCGCTCCAGGGCTCCGAAGAGGACCCCAAGAAGGCTCCGAGAGCGCCCCAAGAGGCCCGCCCCGAGAGGGCTCCAAGAGGCACCTAGGGGGCCACCAAGAGGCCCCCGAGCGGCCTCAGAGAGCCCAAGATGACCTCCAAGATGGCTCAGATAGCCCAAGTTGGCTAAATATGGCTCCCAAGATGCTCCAAGCGGCCCCAAGACCGCTCCAAGACGGCACTCCCAAGCCTCCCTCGCTGTTTGACTATGCGCGTCTGTTCCTCTCTCCCCCTGTCAACTCTCATGGGCATCGTTTCTGGATGGGCTGGTGGGGATACTTGATGTTCGCGAGCACAAACGGAAGGGCCGCGCGCCGTCCAACGCTACAGCTAAACAGCAGGAGCCTGAATTGCACACGAGAGAGAGAGAGAGAGAAAACAAAAAAAGAGAGAGAACCAGAGAACAGCGGGAGGTGAGACTAGCCGGGGCGGGCCGCGCGGCGCTCACGGAGGGGGTGGCTGGTGGGGATACTTTTCGGTCGCGGCCGCGAGACGACGGTCAGGCGGCGAAAGCAAAGTCCGGGACGCGAACTGGGCGAATTAGCTAAGACAGGCGCAGGCCGGCCCACTCAGACAGCGCTGCGCACTGACGAGTGAAGCTGAACTGATCGGCGCACTGCAAGCTCGGGCACGTGCACTGGACAGAATGTCACGGAATTCAAGCGGCCAAGGCACAACCCGCACAGAGGGGACGCGGACCACGATGGGCAAGTCCTTCGTGCTTGGTGAAGACGTGATGGCCGTTGGAGTGAGTCGCCAATGTGGCGCCAGGCTCCGAGCGGACGACCTGAGCTAGCCAGACAGGCTAAGCAGTCGTGAGCCGTGGTGCAACGCACAGGGGAGGCTGAAGGTGGGCCTGTAGGACTGCACCTGCTGCGGAAGGCTGAACCACTCTGCACCATGGCCAGCCCCAGTCAGACCACGTCACAGTGCCAGGCGGTAACCGAGCGACTGTGAGCCATCGAGCGCGTGCCAGCACGGCAAGGCCACTGAGTGGGGGGGAACCCGCTGGCGTGGTGAGCATCGCCAGCGAAGAAAGAAAGATGGAGTGCACTGGAAGTGGTGGTGCCGTGACGGCGAACCGGACCAGAGCAGGTGGGTCCCCAAGAGAACAGGTTGAGCTGTACCTCGCGGGGCACGTGGCGCCGGTACGGGCGGGATGTGCTGTTGTCTCAGGGCGGTGTGCCTGGGGGGGCTGCACAGTGGAAGACAGGAGGGCCGCCGGACGCAAAGTCAGGCCAAGCCCGCCGCTGGCACTTCCCCCCAGGCCCCTGGAACGTCAACGAACACCACGTGGTCCTCCAGGGCCGCAGCTGACCGCCGCTGGGGGTGGAAAGCCAGTCCTCGTACAGCGATGGGCGTGGGCGGCTCCAGGGAGGGGGGCGACACCACCAACGTCGGACAGTACGTCGGCGTTCCCCGGGGCCAAGAGCAGGGGACACCCGCCTGGCCCCCGAGGAGAGAGGCGGGGGGAAAGCCGCCCCTCTCCTCGGTCAGGCCCCCGCACCCGTGGGATAGGGGAAGTGGTTGGTCCTCCAGGGCTGGTGGGGATACGCGAAGCGTCAGGAACTGCCTCGTGGGCCCCTTTTGGGGCGCTCTTGGGCGCTCTTGGGGCCGTTTCGGGGCTCTCTCGGGCCTCTCTTGGGGTCTTTTTGGGCCATCTTAGGGGCCATCTTGAGGCCCCGGAAGGCCATCGAAAACAAAAAGGCGAGACGGCAACATTCATTGATTTCGGTTACGTGTTCGAAGGGTTTGGGTCTGGGCATCTTGGCGGCAACTTGGGGAGACTCCGTGGCCACTTTGAGCCGTCTTGGAGCGGTCTTGGGGCCTCTTGGAGCATCTTGGGAGCCATCTTCAGCCAGCTTGTGCTATCCTGAACAATTTTGAAGGTCAGTATGGGTTCTCTGAGGCCGCTCGGGGGCCGCTCGGGTGCCTCTTGGGGGCCTCTCGGGTGCCTCTTGGAGGCCTCTTGGGGGCCCTGGAGGGCCTCTCGGTGTCATCTTGGAGGCGGTCGTTCAAAAGAGGGGGGATCCTCGATTTCCCCCCTCTCCCCCCCCTTGGTGGCAACGATC